AATGTCAGAGTCTGAAAAGTAAGAGAAAGTGGGATTCAAAGATTGAGAAGTTAGGATAAAAGTTACAAATGAGTCACTTAATACCATACCAGAGGAAACATAAATCTTTGAAGTTCAACCTAGACCACAGAAGTGTTTGATTCTCAAGGAAAGAAGCCAAGGTCCAAATGTCAACTGAGTAATCTAGGCAGCATCACACTGAAGAAGCAGGCTTCCTTAATCCTCTTACAGGATACTAGATGATAGGTTGTTTTTTGTTTGTTTGTTTTGTTCTGTTTTGTTTTGGGGCCCATGAAAAGTGATGCACATGGGTAAGACTTGAGGAGAGTAGAAAAAAGGATTGGTACGATCAACATAATAAAACTGGCAATCTTGCCAAAAGCAGTCTACAGATTCAATGCAATCCCTATTAAAATTCTGGCACAATTCTTCAAGGACCTGGAAAAAACAATAATCAAATTTATATGGAAAAACAAAAGGCCAAGGATAGCCAAAACAACCCTATACAATAAAGGAACTTCAGGAGGCATCACCATACCTGACTTCAAGCTCTATTATAGAGCTATAGTCCTGAAAACAGCTTGGTATTGGCACAAAATTGGCACAAAAATAGGCAGGAGACCAATGGAACCGAATTAAAAACCCTGATTTTAACCCACACACCTATGAACACTTGATTTTTGACAAAGAAGCTAAAACTATACAATGGAAAAAAGAAAGAAGCATCTTCAACAAATGGTGCTGGCATAACTGGGTACTGGTATGCAGAAGACTGCAGATAGATCCATGTTTATCGCCTTGTACAAACTTAAGTCCAAATAGATCGAAGATCTCAACATAAATCCAGGCACACTGAAACTTTTAGAAGAGAAAGTGGGAGATACTCTTCAATGAGTTGGTATAGGAGACCACTTCCTGAACATAACATGAGTGGCACAAACACTGAGATCGACAATTAACAAATGGGACCTCCTGAAACTAAAAAGCTTCTGTAAGGCAAAGGACACAGTCAACGAGACAAAAAGGCAGTCCACAGAATGGGAAAAGATATTCACTAACCCCACATGTTAAGAGAAGCTTTTTCTTGCTAGCCGCTTTGGTATATCCCCTGCCAGCCGCCTGGGCTCTGCCGCTTTCTAGTCCCCAAATAAACACACAAGACACTGTATTAAGCTGTTGGCCTTGCTTGTTTGTTACTGGTTAGCTCTGACTTAAGTAATTACCCCATAAATGTTAATCTAAGTATGTCTCTTACCGGAGAGGTTCCCGGGCTTCCTACCCCAATGCCGTTACATCTCGAACTCTCTTGTGTTTCTCCTTCCCAGAGTTCTCCTGGACTCCTAATCCCTCCTATCTTGGTTCCCTATAGGCTCAACAGTACTTTATTGACATAAGACTTCCCCAACACCCACATTTGACAGAGGGCTGATCTCCAAAATTTACAAAGAACTCAAGAAGCAAGTCTCCAAAACACCAAAGGATCCAATTAAAAGGTGGGGTACAGAACTAAATAGAGAATTCTCAATAGAGGAGGCTAAAATGGTCAAGAGACACTTAAGAAAGTGCTCAACATCCTTAGCCATCAGGGAAATGCAAACCAAAACAACTTTGAGATACCATCTTACTCCTGTCAGAATGGCTAAAATCAAAGACACTGAAGACAATTTATGCTGGAGAGGATGTGCAGAGGGGGGAAAACTCTTCCACTGCTGGTGGGAGTGCCAACTCATACAGCCACTTTGGAAATCAGTATGGAGATTCCTCAGAAAATGGGAATCAGTGTACCACAAGACCCAGCAATTCCACTCTTAGGCATACATCCAAAAGAGGCAAATTCATACAACAAGGGCATCTGCTCCACTATGTTCATAGCAGCATTATTTGTAATAGCCAGAACCTGGAAGCAACCTAGATGCCCCTCAACTGAAGAGTGGATAGAGAAAATGTGGTACATTTACACAATGGAGTATTGCTCAGCAGACAATGGAATCTTGAAATTCACAGGTAAATTTATAGCACTGGTAGAAACCATCCTGAGTGAAGTAACTCAGTCACAAAAAGACAGACATGGTATGTACTCACTCATATTTGTATTTTAGACATGGATTAGGATAGTGCCAGTCTGCACTTCCACTGACAGAGAGTCTGGGAAACAGGAAAGAACCTAAAAGATATGCATAGTACCCAAGAGAAGAGGGATGAGGCAAGATCCTCTGAACAGATGGGCAACATGGTGAGGGGTGGGGGGGAGTGGGAGCTGAGAAGAAGAGAGGGGGAGAAGAGGAAGAGAGAGTAGGTCATGGGGGAACTGGAAGTTGAGTGGGTAGGGCTAGATAGGGGGAAGAGGGAATCACAGGTTAGAAGACAGATCAGGCACCAGAGTGACCTCTAGTGATCTAAAGGGATAACACCAATTGGCAAGCTAAGCAATAGTGGAGAGACCACCTCGAATGTCCATTCCTGATAATGAACTTGATGTCTATAACCATCCGGGAGCCTTCATCCAGTGACTGATGGAAGCAGAGGCAAACACCCACAGTTAAACACTGAACTGAACCCAAGGAACCCAGTGACAGAGAGAGAGGAGCGAAGAGCAAATTGGCAAAGAATGGGCTGGCAAAACCAGCAGAGACAGCTGATCTGAATAGGGGAGAGCTCTTGGACCCCAGCCCGACAGCTGGGAGGCCAGCATTGGACTGATCCGGACCCCCCAAATGTGAGTGTCAGTGAGGAGGCCTGGGCAACCTATGGGGCCCTGAGCAGTGGATCAGTGTTTATCCCTGGAATACAAACAGACATCGTGTGTCCATAGCACAAAGAGGGATGCTCTCTCAGCCTGGACTCTTAGGGGAGTGCCTGGACCCTACCCTGAGTGAAATGACAGACTCTTCATATCCCCTATATGGAAGGAATTGACACTAGGGTGGAAGGCTAGGGGGGGAATGGGGGTGAGGGGGGAGGAGAGGGAGAGGGAACTGGGATTGACATGTAAAACAAGCTATTTAAAATTAAAATAATAAAAAAAGGAAAAAAAGAATATTTCTTTTAAAAAGAATAATGACTAAAAGTACTACCAGAGCAAATAACAAGCAGAAAGTTCTTCCCAGAAAAATTTAGATAATTAAGTGAGAAAATGCTACAGCAGGTTTGGTTATGCTGTAATATATGCTCAAAAATAATGGTCCCAAATATTTTTCTGTTAATAAGTTTCTTGACTACCTTAAAATTCTTAACTTATAACATGAAAAACATTAAAATAAAGTACAAGAATAATAAGGAAATACCTATGCAGTCAAATTCAATATCAGCTATAGCAGAAACGTTAACATCATATCCAGTTGTCTCACCATTGTTTTTGACTAACTTTAAAACCCATTTCTTAATGATTTTATGTAGATATTGAAACTTAGGAATTACTATCCAAAACATTGCTCTGAAAATTAAGACTAAGAATTATAAGTTATGTTTTTAAGAAATCTGTTTTATTCATTTCTTTCGTTTCCAAGGTTGTTTTCATTCCTAAGTGTACAGCTATAAATGTTTAAAGGAGAGCTGTCAGTAGGAGTCTGTCATAATCAACTGAGTGACACTGCTGAAAGTGAAATGAAGGATGCAGAGAAAGCTAAGTTGGTACTATGTAATTTACATGACCTCATTAACACCAACACTATAAGACAGTAATGAGTGTGGTTGTGAATTTGAAAGCGTAAAATAGCACATGGGAAATTCTGGAATGTGGCAGAAACCTTGGCTATGGAAATAGATTCATGGCAGAAAATACTTTTCTAAATGTATTCCTATATACTCGTCAAGTTTTATGTCTACATTTTATAATAATTCTGCTGTGAATTATTGGAAAATGCTGTACATAACATTTTATAATGTTTTATTGTAAATAATATTATTGTTTTAAAGAGGATACATATTAACAAGGTGCTATTACATGCCTTATCATAAGTGGTTCATTTTGGTGTTTTCTGGACTTCTGTATTTTGTTCAATGTTTTCTAGCAACTGCCAGACCAGTTTGAACTAAAGGAATCACACAAGGGAGGCAGGAAAGCATGGATATGTTACTTGAAAATAAATGAAGTGCAAAATATATCTGACTCTTCTCATAAATTGCAACCTGAAATTTGACATCACTGGTACAAAATCCATTTATGAAAGAAAGAATAGTATCTACCTCAGAGATCTAAAGAAGATGTTAATTAGGTTAGAAGATTATTTCTGTTACATTGTTACAATGATGTTGTAATTATTACTTGAGATTTAAGAAAGAGAAAATATGAATCAAAGAATACTTTCACATGATTCAAATAGTTTTCCTATGGTAGTCATTAATCATATTAAGCATCTTTGTTACCATCTATAAGGTGGGGGCCTAGGAAGCTGTGGGGTGTTGGAGAGTGCAGTACTGAAATATCTCCTTTTGTACATTTAAATATGGTTAAGTTACTGAACAGTCCAATTTTATATGCTGCTCATTTTTTATGTGCTAAGTGGCTGAAGTAATTAGGATTTTGTGTATATCATAAAAATGTTGTTCAGATGTACAAAAATAGATTAAGATAATGACTATAATGATCATCAAAGGCTATTAAATCAAAACTCTCAGATTCATAATGAATGTAAGAAGACACATATCTGTGCAATTAGCCAGAGAATATATGGATTTTATGAGTAAATTAACTTGATACATAAAGAAGAGTAGTAATAATACAAATGATTAATTAAATTTAAAAACTTAAAACAAATTTAAAAGATGATTCTGAGTATGCTTTATTTGTATACTCTATTTTGTGAAGGTAACCATTGTATTACTGAAGTCATTCGAACAGACATTTAAAAAGTGATGAGACAAGTAGTGGAAGCCAATTATAATACATGAAGCATCATTAAAATGCATTTAGTACATCTGGTTGCAATAACTTACTGAATTTCAGCCTTTGTAAAATCTGTAAATTGACTTTCAAATATATACATAGCAGATCAAAGATCCTAATTTCCCTTCAGGAACAATCTCTTAATTCTCACTCGTATCTGTTGAGTCTTGATACTGTATATAATGGGATTCATCAAGGGTGGGAAAAGGATGTAGATGTTGCCCATGAGGACATGAACCAGTGGAGAGAGGTGCTTTCCAAAGCGGTGAACCATGGTCAGACCAATGATGGGGATGTAGAAAACCAAAACAGCAGAGATGTGAGAAACACAAGTCTGTAGAGACTTGATTCTCTCCTCCCTAGAAGCAATAGATAGAACTGTGTGCAGGATCATAATATATGACATTAATATGAGTACTGAATCCAGCAACAGGTTGCTGATTACCAGGGCTAGACCATATATGCTATTGAAACGGATGTCACCACAGGCCATTCGAATTAAATCTTGGTGCAGGCAGAAAGAGTGAGAGAGAAAATGAGGCCGGCAGTAATTTAAGAACTTCAGGCGGATGATGACTGGAGGAATGAGCATAGAACTTCTACATAAGATGGCCACTCCAATTTTCATGATTTTGTCATTGGTTAGGATGGAAGAATACCTTAGAGGATTGCAAATAGCAATGTAGCGATCAAAGGACATGGCAAGAAGGACAGAGGACTCCATGAAGGACAATCCATGAATGAAATAAGACTGTGCAATGCAAGCATCGAGGCTGATGTCTTGAATGAAGCCCCAAAGGATGCCCAGCACTGTGTGAATAGTGGACAGTCCCATGCACAGATCAGTGAGTGCTAACATGGCCAGGAAATAGAACATGGGCTGGTGAAGGCTTGGCTCAGTCCGGATCACATGCAACACCATGCAGTTTCCCAGGAACACTGTCACATAGATGATGGAGAATGGGACTGAGAGCCAGAGGTAATAAATTTCTAAACCAGGAAAACCAGTCAAAGCAAACCTAGAGCTACTGGAGTTTGTGACAGAGAGAACTGACATTGGTAGAAGGTTTAAAATACCTTTGGAAAGATTTTGTCAATCACATGACTTTCCAATGCTATACTTTCAAGCAATGTCTACCTGCTTAGTGCAAGAAAACTCAGTATTTTGCAATTTCCATAAATAAGAAGATACATACGTAGTCCTTTGTTGTTTATCATCACTGACCCTGTTGTCTTGACATAGACCTTTCAGTGCTTGTGTTGAGGGATGAGAGGACACCTGAGAGATTTATGCAGGATCAGCAACACCCATGGGCTCATGGGATTTGGAACATGAGGAGTCTGCTGGGATATTCTCAGTCCTAACGAGAAAGTGCTAAGTCACTCATTTGTTATGACTTTCAGAGGATTTCCTGCCTTTTCTGAAGATCATGTTATTTTCTTTTGTTGTTGTTATTATTTTCATTTGTTAAATTTCCACAACAATATAACATAATTTACCCATTTTAACTGTCTATTTTGAAGCAAATATTTGATAATATATGTCTTAGCTCTGCCTTTGTTATCTGTGTAGGGATAAAATATGTATATGCTTAAAACAATACAACCATGATAGGAAAGAAAGCAACAGTAACAATGAAACTGCCAGTTTGTACCTTCTACAGAAATACATCTCCCATATTAACCAGAGAAGAGCATGCATGCATGCAATTATTTGGTTATGTGTATATATGAGTTAACACACATGCTATTCTTTGATTATGAAAAATTTTTAAATCATCACAATTTGGAAAAATAATTTAAGGTTTTAGAATACACTAGAACCTCAATAGAGAAGATTTATATGCATGTGAAATTTAAAACTTTCCAAAAGTCTAATAATTTAAAATTTAAAACATCCAACATTGTGTGAGTGTGTGTGTGTTAGAGACAGGTTTTATCTCTGTGTGTACCTCTATCTTTCCTGGAACTTATTCTTTAGACCAGGCTGACCTCAAATTCACAAAGATCCACCTGCTTCCAAGTACTCTGATTAATGCCCTGAGCAACCATCACACAGCCAATATTTTTAAATATTAACAAATTTTATCTCTTACTTTTACCTTGGTTCCTGTTTACCCTCTGGATAAAGATCATTATTTATATAAAACCTTTGAGACAGGTCAGCCTATTAATAGAATAAAAATGAAAACTAACAATCAAGATTTGTTACAAATAAATTTGTAAATTTGTGGGGTTCTAATTTAAATTGGAACAAATATTATATTTTATAAATATTGAATAATATAAATAAATATATTTTATAAAATGCCTTACCCACAAAATTTGATAAGAGCTAAAAATACAATATGCTCTAACTGATAGAGTTGTTCAGTATCACTTCTGTTGCTCATTTTATTTAGATAGGAATAAATATAAGCTCCACCAAAAGAGTTTACAATGTATAAAAGTGAAATACTGTCTTTTACCCTATAGAATTCTAGGAGCCTCACAAACAGACAAAGACACACTACTGCCACATACATGCAGTCAGTCCCAAGCAGGCCCTCAAACTGTTAGTCAGCTGTCTCTGTGCTTGCTCTTTGTCATGATCTTAAACCCCCATGGTTCTTACAATCTCTCCTCCCTTTCTTCAGTAGGACTCCAGGAGCTCAGCCAAGTGCTTGACTGTAGTTCTCTGCATTGGCTTCCAGGAGTTACTGTAAAGGCTCTCCAATGATAATTAGAGTAGTCACCAATCTGATTAATGGCAAAGGCCAATTCAGGCACTCTCTCAGTATTGCTAGGAGTCTTAGCTGGGGTCATCCTTGTTGATTCCTGGGACGTCCCTGACACCAGTTTCTCCCTATCCTCGAAATATATTTACAACTCTTTCTCTCTGTAACACCCCCAACCAGCCCAACCCATCACACATGTTCCCATCCTCACATCACCTACTCCAGCTCCCAGTTTACCCAGGAGATTTCTTCTATTTTCCATACTCAGAGAAGTCTATGAGTTTCTCTTTGGGCCCTCCTTGTTACCTAACCTCTCTGGGCCTATTATGGATTGTAGCCTAGTTTTTCTTTATATTACAGCTAATATCAACTTATGAATGAGTACATACCAAGTTTGTATTTCTGGGTCTGGGTTATCTTTTTGATTTATTGATAGTGTCCTTTGCCTTAGAGAAGCCTTTAAGTTTATGGAGGTCCCATTTATTATTGTCACGGGAGATCACTTCCTCAATAGAATGTCATTAGCACAGACACTCCCTCAATAGAATGTCATTAGCACAGACACTGATAGCAACAACATCGTGAAATTGAGAAGCTTCTGCATGTGAAAGGACACTGTCACTAAGACAAAATGATAGCCTACAGACTGGGAAAAGATCTTCACCAACCCCACATCTGACAGAGGAATGATCTCCAAAATGTATAAAACTCAAAAAACTATGCATCAAAATACAAAATAATCCAATTGAAAAAAAATGGGGTACAGAACTAAACAGAGAATTCATCAGAAGAATCTCAAATGGATGAAAGACATTTAAGGAATTGCTCAACATCCTTAATAATCAGGGTAATGCAAATCAAAACAACTCTGAGATACAATCTTGTACCCGCCAGAATGGCTAAGTTCAAAATTACTGAGGATATGTTGGAAAGGATATGGAGTCAGGGAACACTCCTCCACTGCTGCTAGCTGTGCACACTTGTACAGACACTTTGGAAATCAGTATGGCAGTTTCTCAGAAAACTGGGAATCAATCTATTTTAAGACCCAGCTGTTGGGGGAAGTCCTGTGCATTTGTCAATAAAGTACTGTCTGGCCAATGGGGAATCTAGATAGGAGGGACTAGGAGTCCAGGAGGACTCTGGGTAGGAGAAACACAAGGGAGTCGACATGTAACGCCATGGGGGTAGGAAGCCCGGAACCATTCTGGTAAGAGACATACTTAGATTAACAATTATGGGGTAATTACTTAAGTCAGAGGTAGCCAGTAAGAAACAAGCAAGGCCAACAGCTTCATAATTAATATAGCCTCCTGTGTGTTTATTTGGGGACTACAATGCGGCAGAGCCCAGGCGGCTGGCGGGGGATAAACCAAAGCGGCTAGCAAAGATACCTCTCTTGGCATTTACCCAAAGGATGCTCAAACATACGACAAGGGCACTTGCTCAAAAATGTTCATTGCATCTTATTCGTAATAGTCAAGACCTAGAAACAACCTAGAATCCCTTCAACTGAAGAACTGATAAAAAAATGTGGTGCATCTGCACAGTGGAGAATGACTCAGCTGTAAGAAATAATGACATCATGAAATATGCAGGCAAATGAATGGAACTAGAAAAAAAATATTCTGAGTGGTGAAAACCAGACTTAGAAAGACAAACACAGTATGTATTCACACATAAGAGGATATTAGATGTAAAGCAAAGGATAACCAGGCTACAATTCACAGCTCCAGAGAAGCTAGGTAACAAGAAGGATTTTAAGAGGGACTCATGGATTGCTCTTAGAAAGGAAATTAGGTAAGATATCCTGGGGAAACTGAGGTGAAGGGGGTGGTAAAGTGGATGGGATAGGGGATGAGAACACAAAGGAACAGTATAGTTGAGGGGAGAATGAAGTAGAAGAGCAATGAAAGAGATACCTTAATAGAGAGAGTGACTATGGGGTTAGGGAGAAACTTAGTGCTAAGTTAATTCCCAAGAATTCACAAGCAGGAACCTAGCTAAGACTCCTAGCAATAGTGAAGAGGATGACTGAACAGGCCTACCCCTGTATCATATTGGTGAATAACCCAAGTATCATCATTGGATCTTCATCCAGTTATTGATAGAACTAGACTCAGAGATCCACAACCAAGCACCAGGCTGAACTCTGGGAATCCCATCAAAGAGAGGGAGGAGGGAATATATGAGCAAGGGAGGTCAAGATGATGGAGAAATCTACAGAGACAGTTGAACCAAGTTCATGGAAACTCATGAATTCTAGACCAACAGCTGGGAAGACTCTGGGAAACCAAACGAGGACCTCCTTACGTGGGACACAGTTGTGAAGCTTGGATTATCACAGGGGCCCCTGGCAGTAGAACCAGTATCTAACCCTGGTACATGAGCTAATTTGTTGGAGCCCATTCCCTATGGTGGGATGTTATGCTCAGTTTCAATGCATAGGAGAGGGGTTTGGTCCAACTTCAAATTAATATGGCAGTCTTTGTTGAATCCTCATGGGAGCCCTTAACCATGAGGAGAAATAGACTGGGGTCATGTGTGCTAGGAAGAAAGCAAGGGGGGACTGGAGAAGAGATCAGAGGGAAAACTGAGGTGAATGGAAAATGAAAATTAAAAAGAATAAATAAAGTATAAAAAAGAAAAAACGTAAAATTTTAAAAAATCGAAATTCAATTTCCTAGGTTGGCAAGATAGCTCAATGGGTGAAAACACTGACAGTGCAAACTTGACAGACTCAGTTTAATTCTTGGTTCTTATGATGGAAGAAAAAGAAAGTCCTCTGACTTTCACATGAGTTGTGTGACATATGCTCACACACACACACACCCGCACATGCACATGTACATGTAGACACACATGCGTGTTCGCACACACATATACACACACCAATTAATAAAATTTAATGAGTTTCTTGATAGTCTGTGTTTAATTTAACAATATATGTTCTATTGTTATTGGATAGAATATTTGATAAATAATAATTAGGCTATGTTGGATTATTGTGTTGTTCTTAAATAACATATGTTTGTTGATATTCTGGTTGCTTGTTCTCTCAAGTATTGAGAAAGAAGAGATGAAGCTTATTACCATAATTGTGCCTGTGTCTATTTCCTTCTTCTCTGTAATATCTCTTTTGGAAATTTCCTTTAAGGTGGGAAGTTGTTCAGAAATGAATGAATCGATCCCTTCATCATTGTAAAATACACACCTTAACCCTCACACATTTCTTTATTATAAAAAATGTTTTATCCTAGACATAGCCTCTCAGAATTATTTGCCATTTTTTGTTTAGGTGCAAGAAGGAATAAATATTTTTTCTTTTCCCAATATTATT